CCTGCTTGAGTGCTTGCATTGCTAGTGTAAGTCGACGTCATGCTCCAATTTCGGCATGACCGGTCAAAATCGAAGCTGAGCATCAACAACTGCAATTAAAGGTCTGGGGGGAACGGACGACAAACTAACGGAGATGATCACTTCTTGCCTGCCGAGAGACTAAACAGCGCATAAACCTTTCATCTCCATTTTCAGGCTCGAGATGCTTCACACCGAAAAACTCGTGAACCCGACGGCCCTAGAAGAAACCAGTCTCCAGGTCGCTAAACTTACAAGGGTCTAGAGCCAAAAGGTCCCCTACCCTCTAACGGCCCAACCACTAACATCCTGCACCTACAGGGGTGGCCTTTACAAGGGTTATCCCACCCATTTCTGCTTTCTCTGGGCGTGCGTGGTCCTGCGCCATCTATTTCTCGAGCACCAACCACCTTGAATCGTGGGTTTTTTTTTGGGCAAGACCAAGGATGGGAACAAGTTTAGATGGATGATTGCTGCCGTTGCTGCTGCTTGCCTTTGCATTCGTAGGAGCTACAAAATAGAGCTTTCTTCCCACACACCCTCCCTCCCTCCATTCTTTCTCTCATTCCTCCATCTATCACCAACCTGTCTTGACTTGACTCAGTCTGATAGCGTTACTTGTATCTATCTATTGCTTGAATTATCGTCTCACTCACTCAAGCAGCATCTTACAAGTCCCCCGCGCACGTCATCTCTCTCAGCTCCCCGCTCTCCTTGAGCGCATTACACCCCATCTTATCATCTGCGACTGTCGTGCGATATTATTCAAGATAGAGCTGCATAAGTTGTTCAAGACCGCCAAGATGTTTTTCGCAATGTTCTTTGTCTTCTTTCGGATCCTTCAGATCCTCACTCTGGTAGGTAGCGGGAATGCAAATACGCCATGGAGATTGCAGGCTAACAGACAATCAATAGATCCCCTGCATGGGTATGCTGGCCTGGTTCGTCGATGGATTCGTCAAGCAAAACGCCCTGACTCCCGATTCAATCCTCATTCTCTTCATTGTCTCGGTTCTCGCGCTTGCTTGGGCAATCTTCACCCTCTTCAGCTACCACCGCTCTTCGACAAACGCCCACTTTGTCGCATTCGTTGATGCCCTGTTCTTCGGCGCCTTCATTGCCGCCGTTTACTACCTGCGCTACGTGAGCGACACCGACTGTGTTAGCATTCGACGTGGCGACGACTGGGACCTCTCCGCTGGCGATGTAAGGGTCATTGGCCCCAGCTATGACCTCGTCAACAACAAGCCATGCTCCATGCTCAAGGCCTGCTGGGCATTTGGCATTATGAACGTCATCTTCTTTGCCGTTACCTCTGTTGTCGCTTTCATGCATGGCGGACACATGAGTGCCTATGACCGCAGCCACTCTTCTCGCCGTTCTTACCACTCCAGCCGCCACAGCCACCGAAGCCGCTCCCGCTCTGGCTCTCGCTACAGCAGCCGTAGCCGCCCTCACTCTCGACGTGTCTACGTTTAGGAGCCTTATCCCGCTACTGCAATTCGTAGGAAGCACAGACTTAAAAAACGAGTAATCCGGGGGACACCGCCAGTTTGCTTCTCTCGGCAATGCATCCATACTCCACTGCAACGTATGCCCAAGTACCACAATACCTTGGCCCAATGACCCGCGAGATTGCAGCCTCGCCAGCTTTTCCGTTTGTCCTATGGCACTAGATAGGGGCGCTCGAGTAACAACACATCGTGCTCTGCGCCAGGGATCCAATCCTTTTTCGCCCCATGAAAGACTGCGCATGGGGAATATGATGGGAAAGGGTCAAGAGACCGACCCTGTTACGATCGCCGCAAGGAAAGCGGCCTCATGCATTATGACTTCTCCTAGAACATATTTCTTATTCTTTGGATGGAAACGTATGGACTGACGACGACCAACATGATACAATGTTGATGACGTTTCTTTGTCTCTTATGCTTCGGGTATGGATAACGAAGCTCAGGTAAGGGAAGGGCTAGGATTAGATACGGGTATGCCGCAGCATAGGCCCTGGAGGCTGCTTCGGTGGATGAGTCTATTGTATATAATATGACTTCACTGTTACATGAGCGACGAAAAGAATAACGAGCGTGTTGCCCCATAATATATCTTTGAACCATGAATATTCGCCTTTTGCTTTTGTCTACATCCCAACGCCGTGTTATGCTAAATGGTATCACTTTTTATGTAACCCTGCCTCAATGTTTGTCCGATTCTCCAACTTGATAGCCTCGAGCAACACCACTTCGACCCTCCTCGACTAATGTGCTAGCTTCATTGTCGAAATCGGTGCCCAAGCCTTGCCACGTGCGACCAGAGCGAAGAAATTCGGCACCTGGACTCGCGACACCATTGATACTCGCCAATTCTCCAACGCTGCGCTTGATAAGAGCATCATTCTGCTTGGCTGTACCGGCGGGACCGTCGCCAATCACCTCTGTAGTGTTGGTGGTAGAGGGGCCGCTGCGAACTGGAAGTCTCATAGGTCGGCTTGATGAGATGAGCTTACCCGTCCGCATGTCAAACTCGGGAGGAGCAGATTCTTCTCCTTCAACGCCCCCAGCGACATCGTCAAACTGATCCTCTTCTAGGACGGCAGCGTCCTTGGACTCGTTGACCGCATCTTGAGGCTTGTCGTTGAGTCCAAGCTTCTCGATACCACCCCACCACTCGCCACCCCAGACCCGTTCATCCTCGCTCATAAGCGCAACCTCGAGCTCAAACGGTGTGATGACTGGTCTCCAGTATCCAGCATCATCCTCTACCAAGCCGCTCTCCCAACATCCGACCACAACCCAACCCTCAATCTCAGCAAAGTTAGCCAGCTTCGCCGGGTTGAGCTTTCCTACGACAATGGTATAACTCTTCTTGTCTGCACGAGCGATCTTCTCCCGCAGGGTATTGATTGAGCTAAGGTAGTTGGCTACTGAAAGTGTATTCACAAGGATGCCAATTACACCGGCGGAAGCCAGCGACAGCACCTTCGCAAATCGACGTCGAAGGAGACCTGCTGTGCGGATAGTGGGGTTCTCGAGTGTTGAAGATGGTGTCGCAAGGACGTGTAATGAGGCGAATCGTGAGTATAGAGCGAGAAGGAGCGCAGAGGGCGGGTCGGAGATGTGGATGATCGAGTAAGCCTTCCAATGTTCGTTGTCATGAGCTTCATCGGAAAGGATCTTGCGGTTGGGTATCAAGGCGGCGGGGTCGCGTGTTACTGCCGTGGAAACAACATTGGTATAGCCTTCGTCTTTGAGGAGTGAAACCACTTTGTCAACGTGATTCTGATATGTCAGATCGGCCATTATGACCAACTTGACAGTCTTGTCGCTGAACTCCTTCTTGATTTCCTCCAATGTCACGTTGTAATCGAGATCGTGTGTGGTGTAAACGTATATCGCAGGGAGGTGACTTGTAGGGCTAAGACACGTTCGGCCGTAATGGACTACCACATCTGCTGATACATGCTCTGCAGCTATCTCGTCCACACAGCAGGCGCTGTAACTGCTATCCGCAAGAACGTATATTCTCCTCTCAGCCTTGCCCTCTTCCTGCGCATCATGTGCGCTGAGTTCCTTCGATAGAGCCTCTACAACCCGAGGAGCGTCTACCAGCATAAAATCCGGGAACTGTAAGCCGATGCGCCTCCATCCTCCAGCGCGGATCTCATCGGCTGTGCGAACAACCTCGTACGTTTCGCGGAGGGCATCATCGGAGAGTGTGGATTTGGGGATCGAGTCGGCGGCGGGAACTTCAAGGATGTGATCGTCGGGAGTCGAGAGGACGGGAGGGGCCGAGAGATCGGACGCCATCGCGGCAGAAGGATGAGGGTATGGATTGGATGTGAAGTTTTTTGAAGGTTGGTGATGATAATATTTTGGTGGGGGTTTGGTGATGGAGGGGAGCGGGTGTCAATGCGGGGTCATGGTGTGGATTTTGGCATTTGAAGAGTAAACCATTAACGAGTATGGAGGTAGAGATGTTGCAATAGAAGTAACAAAGTAATCCGTAAATCGATGTAAATTATCATGCTAGGCGACGAAAGAAAACTCAGAACTTTGTTCCTAAATTGAAAAAAAGATTTAGGTAACACAGTTAAAAAGCCCTTGGTATGGACTGTTTGATGGAGTATATCTCCCGTTTTGGGTTATTGACTCTGCTCGAAGCAATCTGATTGGCTCCACGACATCCAAATCACGAACGAATCAAGCAACCCGCCAATGTAATCACCGCTACTCATCAGCTGGGGAATGAAGAACCCGTGAGTATACGAAATGCCTAATTTGTCGAAGTTCCTAAATCCCAGCATTTTTTTCATATCAAGACATGACTCGGTTGCCTCTTGAACCTGATAGCAGAGTGGCCGTCTTGACTCTTTGGCGTGTATCCTCGTCGTCTGCTTGCTCACGAATTCATGGAGGTGCAAATCACATCCCCTGGTGAGCAAGTAAAGGATGTGCTCAGTACACAAGGTGACGTTGATCAACTATGATGCATTGGTTTACTGATTCTTCAAGGCAAGATCCGCACTTAAGAAGGACCAAGCGCGCATGTGAATAACAGACGCAAGTACTAAGCCTCTTGATTGTGACAAACTGCCGATTAAGGTTTCCAACCTCGGGCTACTCCCGTCGTGATGCCCGTAAGGAACTGCCGAACAATATGACGGAGAATATGTACAAAGAAAACCTCCGATTCTCATATGATTGTAACTTCCGAGTCGTGAATAACAGAACTGAAGTTACAGTCGTTGTCTCGTCTACCCCGGTCATGTCTCGATTAGGAAATCCGTGTACCCAGTTGGGTAATCAGTGTATGCATCGTGGGTGAGAAATAAAATACCACGATGCTGTTAGTCGACATCTACAGCATGTAGTGAGCCACTCCTAGGTTTATATAAGAAATTCGTGTGACTTTGAGTGCGTAAGCAATGCTAAGTATATCTTATATAACGGCATCTGCCGACCTTTCTTTCCCTCTTCAACACAAAACATGACCATGGACGACTCATCACATCAACATCACTTTCTCGAAGGCAAAACCATCATCATCGCTGGCGGTGGTGTTTCTGGTTCAGCATTCGCTGTTGGACTACGCAAATTATGGAATCCCCAGTTCAAAGAGCCCAAGATCATCATCTACGACCGCGACTCGCCCGACGTAAGCGCTCAACGTGAAGGCTACACATTATCTCTTACCGGATACGACCCCTCGGGAGGTCTCATTGCCCTAAAGAGACTCGGTCTTATTGACCAAATTGTAGACAATGCTGTGTCTGGGCTCAATGGAGAGGGAGCATTCAAAATCTGGGGACCTAATTGGCATGAACACGCAAGCTTCCGCCACGAGCCAATCGAAGAGCTGCCATCTTCCAGCGTTAGGATAGCACGCAAGGATCTTCGGAAGGTCCTCCACGATAATCTCCCGCCGGAAGACTCGGTACAGTGGAACTCACGCTGCATCTCAGCCAGGCAAACGGACCAAGGACGATTGCGGGTTCAAGTCGCGAGCGGACAACCGGGCAATGAGACGATCACCGAGGAAGAGTGTGACCTGCTTATTGCCGCTGATGGAGCGAATAGCAAACTCCGAGGATACCTTAGACCCGGTGACAACCTTGAATTTGCCGGTGCAATTCTCCGAGGTGGTATTGCTCGATTTGACGGAACTCCTCCAGCGCCCATCGACAAAGACTGGGGGTTTATGCTTTCAGGAACCGGGATTTCTTGCTTCTTTTCCCCAGTCGACAAGAACAGCGTTGTCTGGGGCGTTGGTAATCTCGAAAACGACGAAATCCCTAGACTAGATCTCAAGAACGACGAAATGGTGCAAGGAGTTATAAATCGCAGTCTCGATCTTGGGAACAAGTTCCAGGATCCTTTCAGGGACATTGTGGAAAGGACTGATACAAAGACCGTGTTTGCCATCAACGCAAAGGACAAGAAGGCTTTCACCCATGACGATATTGAAAAGATGGGCGTTATTTTTATTGGCGATGCTAACCATGCTGTGACACCCTTTGCTGGGTGTGGAGCGAACCTGGCGTTATGCGATGCGTGGGATCTGGCAGAGGCTTTATGTATGAACGGTTCATTAGGGGAGGGCATATCAGTGTATGATGGACGGTCTGAACCGCGGGCGAGAGGGATCCTGGAGCGAGCACGTGAGAAGTTAAAGTCAGGGCATAAGGGGAGATTGTAGTTTTCATAAGATATTTCATCTCGAGCCTGATATTAGATAATTATCTTTATTTATGACGCTTGCTATAAGTGAATTCGAGTAGATGAGTATATCTAAAGATTGAAGACTCAAGCCATAATAGATCTTGGGAAACAGATAATGTCGAGCAGAACACAGAGTTTAGGTGACATAAATAATAAACTCGAGTCAATAGTCTACGGTAGTATGTCAAAGTCCTAGAAGTCCTCTCGGTTGTCTAAGTACCGCATAGGAGGCTACCTAGGCTGCATTAAACACCTCTGAGAGAAACTGCAGTCTCATTCCTTATCCAAGTTTCCCCCTTTCTCGTTGAGAAGTGGCCTAACAACTGGGTGGAGACGGTATAGACCTATTAAGTTGCGTATGTCACTACAGAGGGCGCAGGTTCAGGTGAGGAAGGCTTTGATGAGATTACAGAAGAAGCTCCCGAGCCTGGAATGCTTGGTCTCATGTAGTGGCACTGTGAGGCACCGTGGGAGAAAAGGAATGTGCTGGTCTCCTCCAAACTGCGCTGACGGGGGCGGGAACCATTGCTGACCGGAGTACTCGCTACCTCCAGGTTCTTGAGAACCTGGGGCTTATTTTTTCCCACCATCAAGATACCTTCGGAGGTCTCGAGCAGGCCGTAGTCAACAGTAGCCTGGTGTACCTATAGAAGGCCACTCTGGCACCCAGGTGTGACTCGTCCTCCAAGGCATCTGCGGCGACACTGTGTTGGCTCCGATAGCCATCTTGTTACACCCGGCGATTGATCAGCCTTTTTAAATGCCACCAGGGCTGGGAAAATCGGCTCGGGCCGTACCTAGGGTAGATTGGCGAGGAGTTACTAGAAATGGCTGTTGTCAGCCCTGACAAGGTGGATTTAGGCTTCATGACCAACGCCAGCCGGAATTACGAAACCCATGTCTCCCGTTCTGGGATAAGGAGGTTTTATATAGGTCTGCCTTGTGAGCGAAAGATCGGCTGGCGCCCCTGCCATCAAGTCTCACCGACATCAGGAAGTGAAGGTAGAAAGATTATGGAACGGAGAGACCACGATGCTGGGAGAGGCTCGAAGAAATACACTGGTCAATTCGGGATCGTCAATTTTAATGCTTTAGAAATACCTACAACGTTACATTAGAATACAAACTCCATTTCTTCGCCATCAATGCTAATATCAACGCGCTCCATCCCCTCTTCCTCCTCATCTAGCACATCAGCCCACGTAACGCTATCCTCATCCATCTCCAGGACAACCTTCCCGTTCTTGACTGCTTCGTAATCACCGTCAGACTTGTCATCACTCTCGATCTCATACTCTTCATCGCTTTCTTCATCGCTACTGGGATCACTCTCCTCCGACTCAGATTCGCCATCTCCACGGTGTTTCTTTGCAAAAGATTGCGAGGCTGGCAAATCTGGACCCTTTCCTTTTAAAATTATACTGTTGTTCATACCCAAAAACGACTGCACAACAGATCTCCGGACAGTCTTGTACTGGAGAGCAAAGATATTACTCCCGACGCTTTCGCCAGAGAACTCGGCTGTATCTTGGCGACCTCGCGACCCGGAAACGCCTGGGTCAGTGAGTTCAGAGGGCAGCATGATGCCTGTAGTGCTTGAGACAATCGTAGACACAGGCACTGAAACACCGGCCGAGGTTGTGACCCCGCGTTCTCTGGAGTGCGTGAAAGTTGCATCCTGCCAGATGAGCACCGCAGTAACCATGAAGCCAGCATTACCGCCGCGAGCTAGCATCCGTTGGAGTTGAGATCTCGTGTCCTCATGTTGGATCAAACGATCAAAAACTTGATCATAATTCTGAAGACGCACGCAGACGACCTTGGAGCTAGTGAACGAGAGGCCCCCGCCATTACTGGTTTCTCGTGAGACATCAACTGTTGCGCCGAGTTTGGCAGCAAACGACTTATTCCGCTGTGATAATGCGGCAAGGCTGGCGTTGGCGATGGTGCTTGTTGCAAATTCGTGTGTTACAAAGGGTTTCGGATCATCCGGCACAAAATTTGCGTCTGGCTCGGAATACGATTTGACTATTCGTCCGAGCCATGCTGATAGGGCCGATGCCGGTAGATATCGTTCTGGGGGGAGTAGATAGAACGATGGTCGGGGTTGTTCAGTAGGCATGCCGATAGTGATAATGATGGTGTGATTACGGTGATCAATTGCAAGGCTGTTGTATGTAAAGTTATGGAGTGCCAAAGAAGCAATTGCTCAGATCACAGGTGAGGGCAATATACCGAGGAGAGCCCAGACCGATTCGACTGCATTTTCAACTATCCTAGGCAAGCAGAAAGCCATTGTAGATCATTGCTGCCCAAACCCCTGCCAGCGTGGGCCTTTTCTACCAATTCTCGTATATAGCTCCAGTGGGGCAGTAATCTTTATTGTTTTCTTGTCAGTGCAGTTCGGCAAATGTGCCGTCCCACGATGCGAACAGCGGCGACCACATATATCTAGATTCCGTTCCTCATCAAACGGGAACGTCACATTGAGCCTTCTGAACGCAATCAAAATTAAGAAGTAGTAAAATGATCACTGTCAATATTGTCCGGCGAAATGTTGACCCTTCCCAATCGGAAGACCTTGACGGCTTGTGTCTTTTCTACGTGAATATCACCAGAGACGACGGCACAACGCACATCGGATCAGATACCTCAGTCACCATCCGTCCTCTTCTTCTTCTGGCAACCGGTACCCCGGGACATATTGAGCCACCATATGGCGGGGACTGGGTCAGCGAACATGCGCAGGACATGATGAATGCACTACAGACGCAGATGAACTCTCCATCCGACTTTTACGGGAAAAAAGTAGTCATCCGTATCGCAGAACAACCCTGGTTCAACAATAATAACTCTGAGGATCACAATACCGAGGACCACATGCCTATGCCGCGCGTTCTTTGGGAGTTCCTAGAGCGGCTCGAGGTATGGGAACCTATGATGCGGCCGATGGAGGTCAGCGTGGTGCAGACACTGGCTACTGGCACTCCCCAACATCTCAGCCAGGATTTCAAAGGAAACAAGGTTGATGACCAGGAGAACGAAGGACAAAGGAGGATTCTTGTATTGTCGTGTCGTGCTCCTGGTCGTTCCACTCATGCCAGCGAGCTCTCCCTCCCAGTCTCGCGTCCCATTCTACAGGCGGCAGGAGATTCTACGAGCGCCATCTTCATACGACCTGGGTCCTTTCGTGCCTTGAAGACTGAGCTCGAATCCCACCCTAAAGGCTACTTTACTGCCATTCATTTAGATATGCTGCTTGTCCACAAGCGCCCTCGAAAATCCGAGCCCGAGACTCCCAGGATCTACTTCCAATTCATCAACCAAAACAAGGCTGAGGTGATAGAGGAGGACCTAAAAGCCGTCGATAAAGTTGCGGCACTGCTTCTGCTTTATGGTGTTCAGGACGTTGTCATTGCTCCCTGTCCATATGCCAGATCCGCCGTTGAGACTGCAGCTACCGTACTTTTGAGCAGTGGAATACAGACCGTGGTTACTTTGGCCTACCATATCACTGAAACTGGTGTCGAGGCATTCATACGATCGCTCTACACTGGGTATATTCATCAGCGTCTCCCCTTGGAAGAAGCCGCTCGAGCAGCTCGACGACGCTTGAGGGGAAGTGAGGGCGATGGGAGGTTGCCCATTTGTGATTTCGTGGTACTTACTTACTTCAACCCAGAGTGGCTTCCATCCACCAGTTCGCGTGCTGACTGCAAAACTCCCAAGCAAGAGCAGAGCCATCCTAACTCGCTGTATGGGCGAGAACAAGACATTGTCCACCTAGAATCAATACTTTTGCTTGGAAAGCCACTACCTCTATTGATCTATGGCATGGCTGGTATCGGCAAAACCACTCTTCTGGATCATTTATGTACATGGTGGAAGGCTTCGGGTATGATCGAAGATGCAATCCATATACACCTCAACTCGAGTGAACCTTTCAACAAGGATATCATGCTACAACAGCTGCAACGCCACTTTGTTCCGAACTCTACTCTAGACTCAGAAGATAAAAGCTCTCTGTATGGGCATTTCGAGAGTCACAAATGTCTCATCGTGATTGACGATCTCGACTCAGCGAACTTCAACCGACAACAAAGCCAATTCATCAATCTGACCTCCAAGCTGTCCAAGTCTGGTGCACTTGTCATTCTTGCTTCGCGCAAGCAAGAAAGATGGCTGAGTAAGGCAAAAGTATACAAACTTTCTGGGCTTCACAGTCGATCAGCGACTCTGATGGTGATGGACCCCAAATTCAGGGACCGCGTCACTGATAATGACGGACCTTCATCTCCTGAGCCAATGGCAAAGAACAAGACACAAGAAGAGAGAGATTGTCTTGAGGCTGTTATTGAGATGGTAAACGGAAATCCCCAGGCTATAGAAATTATGACTCAAAGTGGGCTTTACTGGTCAAGAGCTCCGAAAGACGTATATTGCTTCTTACTCGGACTTCGCTCAAACCGCTCTGCAGCGCCTTCTGCGAGCTTTGGGACTTTGGCCACCGACGAAGAATCTGAACAGCCAAGCAACAGAACGCGACTTGATGGTATATATGAGGAACTACGAAGTACGGACTTGGGAAACGGATTCCTGCCTATATTGCTTGCGCCATTCATAGGTGTTCTGCCCACCAAAGATTTCCTCACCGTTTTCTGCATCTGGAGCACAAGAGTGACCAAGGTTCTAGGAAAGGCTGCGTCTACACGGCTTGTGCACGCTGCACTCGACTTGGATGTGTCTTACAGAGACAACACCGAGCTCACAGAGGAGGCACGCGTCTTCATTGAGACTTTACTGAATGCTGCTGAAGTAGCGGAGCCTGAGGAAAACCTGGCGTTGTCGAGGTCTAGCGTTCTGTTTCATAAAGACCTCGAGTTTTCCGAACCAGCGTCACCCGCTGACAGCTTTCTGACAGCCAGGTGTGACCGCATCAAAGATGGGCTCGTTGATGGTGGAATGCTTGAAGATTTC